TCTGATGTTGCATTTCAAGCAATTATTCTTTCTTGTTTTCCTTGCCGGTAATTTGCTTGGTACCCCTGATACGACCTGCTATGAGACTGACCTGAAAGTGGGGAAACGTTCACAATTTAGAAATCGATTCAACGTGTTCATTGAACCATCAATAATCAATGGAAATTTGTTCTGTTATTGAGGATTTGATGAAAAATAGATGAAACGTATATACTGTCTCGGATAACGCGCCTTACAAGGCTGTCATACTGTCGTGTAACTTTGTCGTTGAACAGCGTGCTACGTATAGTTTCAGCCATTTAAAATTTATAGTAAAATTTAATACATTTAAGTTTAATCAAATCCATTTTTTGCTTCTGCACAACCTAAAGATAAGATTAAATCTAGCCAAGCTTTTTTTTAAATACATAGATATAATTGAAAAAATACGCGCTGGAAAATTAACGTGTCAACTGGTCTGCGCTAACTGGTCGAATGTATACAGTGTCGCCCCCTAGGAGAAAATAATTCCATTCACTTCGGTCAGCCGAATAGAATTATATTTGTCCAGGAGAAAAACAATACAATCCCGTGCCGCCATTTTGAGTTAAAAATTTTTGTTATGAAGTTGTGAGCCCCTAATTACAAATTTTCATTAAACAAATTGGGGCATTAGTTTGCTTTATCAATCATAAAATCTAAACTAAGACTTTTAAGAAAAATCGCTGGCAGGGTTTTGGAGTACGAAATAGTGTCATTAAATCGGCGTTGAAACGGTTATTGTGGGTACTTAGGTAAAAGAAATTTGAAAAACCGATTTTTCAGTTTTTACCCCAAAATCGCAATTAATTATGACGTCACCCTTAAGATGACATATGTGTAAATGTTACTTCATCTATTCACTGCTCACTGACGATTTATTTATTACCTAAAACAATGTATGTAAAGCAGTAAAGAAGAAGTTTTGGGCGAAGGGTGACGTTATCCTTAACGACGGTACATGTTAGAGCACGCTAGAAGAATAATACTACGGTGATTTACTGTGTTACAGTGTTTTTTAAGTTGAATCATAAATTATTTTTCAACAACCATTATTCACATAATATATTGTACCAGTAGCTCCGTGCGAGAGACACGTCATATGTTTTGAGGATCTTTTCCCTTGGATTTATCACTTCATCTGCCTCCACGGCGTATGGTAAGATGAGCTGTACAGTGATGAGTCTTCGTAGATGTCCTCGTTGCTGGAAGACATCCCTTCTGCCTGTTCTGCTGTTAGTGATTGGGACATTGATTTACACCTTCCAATTCATGAACCGCACTGAAAGTAAGCTAAAGGGCGGACATTATTCGCCATTGAAGACATATAAGGACAGGAAAGCCTATCAGATTCAGGACGTTCAGCATACCCAATAACAAGACCACTGAGATAGACTTCTTAATCAGAATTTAATTTGTAATTTTAGTTACGTTTCTGGTAGATTCGCCTACAATATTCCATTGTCGGTATGTGCTATTCAACATATTTGAAGATGCTTTTATATATAAAAAGTACATTTTCAGGTTCCAATACTGTTCATGTATTGGCGTGCTCATTTTACATATATATATATTATTACTATTATATTATTATATCTTTTTATTCCAACTCAGCCCTGCCGTTAGCAGTGACGAAAGTTAACACAAGTGGCAACTTGGTGGCTAAAAAACAGTCTGCTACATCCGGAGATATCATCTACCGGGAGAACCAGAAGGGCCCTCATACCCAGTTAAAACAGTTTTTGGCGATTGCCAGGCCATCTACAAGTGGTCGGACAGGTGGCTCCAAATCTACTGTACCCACATCTTATAAAGAGGACGCGTTAACTGCAGCACCACAACACTTGGGCCAACATCAAAATGCGACCTCAGACTTTGTCATGGTCTGGTCTCATTATGCCGCAATTCCACAAACGCTTATGGATAAAATAGAGACCGTCGTCCGGTTAAATCCAGGGAAACGCGTTGTATTTCTGTGTGGAAGCAGTGGATGTATAGATCAAATAGACGCCAAGTCATGGAAACACGTAACAGTACTTCGTTTACTGTTATCTGAGTTGACTCAGGGCACACCACTGGACGATTTTGTCTCTAAATCCGCCATTCTGAAATTGCTCATGGGTCGTAAATTTATGGCAGCCGTATATGAAGTAAGTGTTTTACTTGCACTGTGGACATTTGGTGGACTTTACATAGATGTAAGAAGAATAGTCCCGTCAAATTTACCAGATGAATATTTCACGGGGGAATGGATGTCCCCCAAAGGCATCTTTTTCGTATCCAGGTTCGAACGACAATCGTTGTTCGTCCAAAATGCTATGATCGAGATTCAGTCGGCCTACAGCAGTCGCAGTAGAAGCCAAATCCAAAATTGGGACACAGCTTCAATCTTACTGAAATCAAAAGTTCTTAACCAGGTAGATAAGAGACAGATTGAAAAGAACGGTAGAGATTCTGTAATACCTTTTTGGCCAGATGAACTCTTTGGAATCCTAAGTTTTGACCATCGGGTGAATGTGACAAGAGGCAGCAACGTTGGGGATGAGATTCAAACTCTGGCAGGGCTACAATTTCTTCCCTTTGTTGATTTATTTGTGGACAGGGATAATTGGGACGTCACTAGTGTAGTAAAAACATCTGTCCAGTCGAAAGGTACTGACAATTTTTGGGCAGCAAACAGTAAAAGAGAAAGCCATGAAAAGGAAAAACATTGGTCTTTGTACATGGACCGAAATGCAGCCGGTGATGATATATCTAAAACAAGCGATACGAAAGATCAGCATGGAAGAGGGTTCATTGTTTCCAACCAAACCAATATACTCAAAGAACCAATCACAATATTTCTAAATGGTTGGTATAACGCCGGCAACATGATATGGCCACCAAAAGTTAATCTAAACCCTTTGATTATATCGATGCACTTTGGGTCCAATTTCTGGAAGAAGCTACTAACTAAGCCGGGCAGAAATTACCTTCGACATCATGGCCCTGTGGGTGCTCGTGATGACGTCACTTTTAATTTCTTAAAATCCCAAAACTTTTCAGTATTTAAATCGGGCTGCTTGACACTTTTGATGCGTAATCCCAATCCCAACATTAAAAGAGAGGGCATATTTGTCGTTAATGTAAACAAACGCGCTTTAGAATTAATTGTTCCGTATCACATACGAAAATCGGCGATATACGTCAAACATGACCTACCCAGTTGGATGAAATTTGATAGATTAACTCGCTACGAAGAAGCACAAAGTTTGATAGAGAGATACTCACGCGCAAAATTAGTTATAACCTCGCGTATCCATTGCGCGCTTCCATGCGTTGCCATGGGGATTCCAGTAGTTTTTGTGGAAACTGATGTCTTACCTGGAGGAGGCGGGCATCGAACTGAGGGCTTAACAGAACTTTTTCACACAGTGACTGTGGACCGTACGAGGAAAACCTACAGAGGCCTGGACAACTTTAATTGGGACAAACCGGAAATGAATCCAAATCGTGAAATATACATGCGCTTTCGAGCCACCATGTGGTACGAGATACGGAAATCACGCGCATTACGAGAAACGGCGATAACATTTGGGGTCGTTCCCTTTAAAACATTCGGGCAATTTAACCAAAATGAAATGACTGGTTCGGTTTTCTTTCAAGTGTATGGAACAAAGAATCAGACTAAGCGAAACCGCCATTCACTGTAGAGTATATTTTTTCCACCATCCAAATGCGAGTGTGCGCATTCTGAGCTTTGACACAAAAGGCGTTTTCTGAGTTCACTGAAGCAGGTTTTCAAGTAGACAGACTTACTCAACTACCAGACTCGGCACCGAATGATCCTGAATTCACCGGTAGATCAGACCACACTACCCGTTTTCAAGTTGTGAGTCTCCATTTCTCCGTGATTGTTTTAAAAATTACCTAGTTCACTATAATCAGAGCGTTTGGGGGGCAAATGGGCCGAGTCTTCTCACCCGCGCGGCGAAAAAACATCGCGCGTGGCTCGTGACGTCAGCAGTTACTAAGATCTATCCAAAGAAGAGTCGTGCATAGTCAGACGTTTGTATCGGCAATCGTTTTATCCTATTGAGTGGCCTAATGTTACACGAGAATGTTTCCTTGATAATGGCACAGTAAACGAAGAGTCATTTGCTGTGCATCTATATAACAGATTGTCGAAAACGTATGGGGACGCTATAAAGCCTGGAACGCTGTGCCGTTACCTTCTGAACTATTTCTGCATTTTCTGTGGGGATTTTGTTTAATCTGTCTGTTATGCTTGCATTATAGAAGACAACGGCAAAATAACGGCATGTAATATAAAGTCTGCATGGGATTATGCAAGAATAAAGATATTATGATGCTGGCATATAGAAGAGATATAATTTGCAGTTAACTGTGTGTTAACTATGCCACTGAAAAGCCTTGACAGAATTCTCTAAAAGAACTTAAAACAATATGCAAAAGCATGATGATTGTACCCAAAAAGGAGCACGGAAATGGACTCGGGGGCCCCTTCTGCTTCAATGATGTAGATGAAAAACATCTCATTAGGCCATTGCCCAAAAAACAACACGTTGGTTTCCCAAATGTTGTGTTTATACTTATCATACTATATTTTTGCGTGTAAGAGTGAGATATGCACATGAACTTTCTGGGAACTTATCTTTATCACCAGCATGTCTCGTTCTTGGAAACTCCAGCGACCTGCAGACAATATCGTGTTGGGGCTAGTCTCCAGTGACTTCTAATGGTTAGGGAGATGGACAGGATGAAGTAGCCGTCAATTTCTGGACGCTTGGATGACGGCAAATGTGTATAGTAATGGAGGGCAATTCAGATATCGGGTTTATAAAGTTGGACCGGTTAACTGGTTTAACTCATAATTGTGATTATAATTTCAAGAGCCTATTCATTGCAGATAAATGACAAGTTTGCGTGTCCTCAGTTCCTTAATAAACGTGTGACTAAGACAAAACAACAAGAACAACCACTTCCAGTATAAACCATTTAATTTTTCTTTTTTTCTTTTTAAATATGACAAAATTCTCTTCTGTCACTGTAATAATGTACGCAATAATTTCACAGTTTCTGATGTTGCATTTCAAGCAATTATTCTTTCTTGTTTTCCTTGCCGGTAATTTGCTTGGTACCCCTGATACGACCAGTACGTCTGGCTGCAATGAGACCGACCTGAAAATGGGGAAACATTCACAATTTAGAATTCGATTTAACATGTGGATCCATCAGTAATTAATTACTGAGGATCGTTTGCCAAATAAAAGTTAAGAAACGTATTGTCTCATATAACACATCTTACTAAGTTATCGTACTGTCGTGTAACTTTATAGTAAAATTTAATACATTTAAGTTTAATCAAATCCATTTATTGCTTCTGCACAACCATAAACCTTTTAACACAGCACTTTTGATTAAAATTTAAGTTTTTGTTGGCTGTAATTCCATCTAAAATCACATCCTTGTTAAAGGAGTTTGGAAGTGTTTAGTGATTGGGATATTCTACTATTGAATTACACGATGCCAAAATGTTATGACTTGGGGGCACAGCTCAGAAACCTCAACCGAGTGTCTTCATGTAATATCAGACATGGGTTTGCTTTCATCACTGCTTGAATCATAAAACAAACTGAAATCCACTTGATTCAGTTTTACAAAAAGGTACCCAAGTTTGAAGTTTGTTGTGGTTCCAAGACTGGATTTTTTTTTTTTTTTTTTTTTTGGAAAAAGGGGGGGGGGGACGTACTTTAGTGCAAACAAGCACTTCAAATATACGTCTACAACCTAATCGATTTTCTACTCTATTTTTTTTGGTCCAGAGGAGAGTGAAAATTTACTTAGATCATCCTACGGCCTATATTCTTTTAAGACATTGGCTCTAGATGAAAATAACTTTTTTTAAAAATAATGCCAGCAATGGCAAGGCAAATAGGAACAAGCCATTTCTCTACAAAAATTTACACCCTGTTCTAAGTATCACAAAAATCAAGAGAGTTTGTCTTACCTTTTTACCAGCGGATGCGTCCCTCCTGACTGTGGATGCCTTACCAATATGCTGATGGTTACCACCACCGTGAGGATGTTCAACAGGCTGAAAAAACATGACAGATGACAGTTAATTCTAGTGAAAATAGTCTCACTCTGTTATAAACTCCGAGGGCTGTGTTATACACTTGGTTGTTTTACATTGGAATTCAAATAAGTCGATTTAGGTTTGTTTTTGTTTAGAAAATATGTTACAGGGAGTAATTTATAATGGTTTGTATTTGAAATTTGAAGTCACTACATGCAGGATAGCAAACACATTAAATCAGTAAAACGGGCAAACGGGTGGGTCAGAACGGCAAAACTGACAACGTTCAAAAACCTTTTCCATCACCTGCAGCGAAGTTCACTTACGTTCATAGCCACACCGCGGACCTTAGGCCAGCAGTTTCTCTTGGCCTTGTATTTGTGGTATGCTCGCCCAGCTTTCAGCATGGGTTTGTCTATACGACCTCCTCCAGCGACGATACCTGAAATGAAGAGGGTGGTCAGTCTAAGGTGTCTCAACCAAAAAAACTTGGGGATGCACATTTTGAAAATGCACTTTATAATATTCTATACCACTGTGTTAATGTTTTAAAATGTTTATGCCTAAATTTGAATGAAAAATTTAGAACGACATTGTAAACAATCAAATCAAATCAAATCAATGTGACAGTCAGGTGTTCAAGGCCCTAAACGACTGGGTCATAGGTCTTTGCCTGATTGTAGTAAAAGACAGAAGTCACTTTAAATAATTAAAATATTCATATTCACTTTTCTAAAAACAAATCAAGAATTGTCCAAATGGTGAACTGGCTCAGATTAACCTCTAGTGAGGTTTCGTCATGGTATTCTGACAGGGGCATTCGTTTGTCATCACTGCTAGTTCACGTTTACACAATCCATGCTCATTTTGTCTACACTGTAACACAGTGGCTCTAATACAAAATATTGTACTACACTATGAGTTCCAACAAACAGAAGATTAAATCTAGCCAAGTTTTCTTTTTTTTTTTAATACATAGACATTATTTCAATCAACCTATGACATGTTTGGGCAAACTCTTTATATAAACTATTCATTTTTTTATCTTTTTAACCAAAATGATTGCCTCTGCCGCATGTCCACAGAGAGAAAAAAATCCACAACCTACCAACCATAGCCCTATTTGCTGAAGGTACCACCTTCTTGGACCCTGATGGAAGCTTCACACGACTCTTCTTTGTTTCATGGTTGTGTGAGACGACGGTGGCGTAGTTTCCTGAAGCTCGGGCCAGCCTGCCGCGGTCACCAGCTTTCTCCTCTACATTGCAGATGACGGTTCCCTCAGGCATGGACCCGATAGGGAGGACATTGCCTATCTGGAGAACAGCTGAAAATAGATAAATCAATTTATTAGATGTGAATAAGAGACTGCAGTAGTGCTAGCAATTTTTTTCGCTTAGCCAAATCACCACATTTTTGTCAATTTGTTACCAAAATGGTTATAATTTGGCTAAAACATGTCAAATCAAGCCCTTTTTCTTTAGCCAGTTGAAGTCAGTTTTAGCATTTGGCTAAATTGGCGAGTGTTAGCGCAACCCCAGAGAGAAGTGCAGCCACCACCAGTGTTGTACCGCCAGCTGGGATATGCAGATCAAGATAAAAGAAATGTCGATACAGAGAGCATGAAGCAACAGAAAATTCAACAACACAATAATTTTCATTCTTAAATAGACGTCCTAGCAAGCAAATATATTCTTCAAACAAGAAGTCTGCACCAACCTACACCAAAAACATCACTAATTTAATTTTAATTGCAAAGCTATGCCAAGTCTGTCTACAAGTAAAATTTCACAATTTTTTGTCAAGCACATCTTTTATTTCATCAAAATGAACCGTCTGTGAAAAAGATCTGGAATAGCTCAGAACTCTGAAGGTCAGCAATGAAATTCAGGTCAAAGTGAAGAAAATTTTTTTTACTCATCATTGCCATTCCACTTTTATTCCTAGAGGTTCACAGAGGGGTTACCTCCTCCTGGGTAGGTACCACCAGCCGGGTATGGTCTTTCCATTTTCAAAATTAAATTTCATTTCAAGACTGCCTTTTGATTTATTCATGGTGAGATTCTTATAACACACACACACACACAAAAAAAAAAAAAAAAAAAAGACAAGCTATCAACCCTATCTTTAAACCATTCTCTTCACAATTTTATCACATTTTTGCGCAAGCACACACAGACACACAAACTAAAGATGACTTCCTAAGAAGTTCTAGAAATTCAGAAATACTTCAAATCACCTTTCTTTCCACAGTACACAAACTGTCCAGTGTACATGCCCTCACAGGCAATGAAGGTCTCTTGTCTCAGTTTATACTTGTAGGGGTCCCTGAAGACAACCTTGGCCAGGGGAGCACCACGGCCTGCATCGTGAATGATATCCTGATAAGAAAAATATATAAGAACTTATGAATCAAATTACAGCACAAGTGTTTTTGTCAAACAAAAAAATGGACCTAAAAATGCTAGTTTCTTGATCAACCTCACTTAAACATTGGAGACAAGATTTTTTTGGTAAGTTACTACTAGATGGCTTTATAAAAGGCGAATAATCTATGAGAAACTGTTCAAAGTCTCAGACAGATTTCATAGAATTTACCTCTTCTGACTAGTGAGTCACAACTTTTTTGGAACTTAGTGTCATCACTGCACTACAACAATTTTAAACTTACAAGTAACAGACGGCTTTCTTAAAGTTCAAAGCCATTTCTCTGGAGCACTTTTTTTTATGCAATGATAAAAATTCAAATTGAATTTCATTTTTCGAAATGCTGATATGCACTGACTATACTCTGTAATGAGCAAAACACTGCATTTGTATTCAGAATTAGTCTGTATTGAAAAACTTATATGCCATTTTCTGCTTCAGGGCTTGACACTAACTTTTTTCAATACTGGTAAATATTGGAAGGCTGACTTGACACATGACATTTTACTCGCTCCTTGGCCAGTGACCCCATCGATTCCATGGCCCGAGGTTGGTTTTCAGTGGCCCAGATCCAGTGGCCCACCCTTTTTGTCAAGCCCTGTGCTCGTTTTTACCTACCTTCACGACTCCTTTGATGTATCCATGTCTTTCAGCAAAGTCAACTGGCCTGAGCCTTGCAGCTCCTTTCCTGTTCTTAGTGTGGGCCTTGAAAACACTTCCAGGACCCTTACGCTGACTTCTAATTACACGCCCCATACTTGGGCTAAAAGAAATAGAAATACGTTTTTAAACACAGACGGGAACACGTTACAGGTCGGGCACATTTACAATCCAATAACACATAACAGGGCAATGTTTTTCTCAAACAAATTTGCAATATGGTTTCATCTGTGTCCTAGGTTTTTATTTATCTGAAATATATGTTCGGATGTATAATGGGTATGAGTGATTTAATGGATTTTCCAAAGGCCATTCTACGTTGGTTCTCACCTGTGTCAAGATGGCCGATTAAAGAGGCCGGAAAGGAGTTAAAATTTACGACATTGCTGGTTTAAATATCTTTTGCATTGAATAAAAGTAAATGTTGTATGTCAGAAATAAAATGCTGTATATTTATGTTAGATACAAACGTCTAAATAAGATTTCACGAACAGAAATACATAGACAAAACCGGTCTATTTACGACTTTAAAGTACCATGATTTGGTGGGGGAGCATTTATTTTTAGAGCATATTTAAAATTTCACATCTTACGTGAATATATACAGTGAAGTTATATGTTTATTTTACAGATAAATATAACTAAATTAAGTTATTAATATATTGTATATTGATATTATATATATATAAACTCCCAAAAGTAAATTATCAATGCTGTCTGAAGATTCAATACTCCCGTGTCTCGCCGGTCACGTGATCTGAACTATATAAGGTGCGTTTCCCTTTGTGCGGCGCACTCATTTATGATTCACTTTAACGTGTGAAGAAACATCTTATAGATTTTGTAATATGCCTAATGATTCCAACCAAAATGGCCAGGGTCTAGAGCAGCAGGTATGTAGAAAGATCGAGTGAAGAATCAAGAGTGGCTGACACTCGTAGCTTAAGAAATTTCAATCAAACCAAACCGATAAATTTCCGAACGATGAAAAAATAAAATGGCGACACGCTATCACTCAATGCTCACATGTTCAGCGATAAAAAGTTAAATATATCTAAAATATACACAACAGCGTGAAATTCGAATCACATGTTCCATAACCCTGACAAAATAAAACTGTGCTTGTAAAGAATTTAATAAAAATGCCTTCCACAAAATCTCTTAGAAAAAATTGAATATTTGTTTCCAAAATGTGAAACACGTGGACAGTTCAACGAACTATGACATCATTGAAATGGGTCGGCAAATCATTTTGGTTTTGATTCACAATCAGAATTAGAAAAACTGAAAAAATATTCACCCTTACACACGAGTTTCTTGGCCTTTTATTTCAAAATGGTAAAAGTTTGACTGGCTGTATTACCGGTAGATATTTGTGTGTCTTTTGTAGTCATGATTGTACCCTTTGTCAAAAAGGAAGTATACCTGCCCCCTCCCACTAATGTCCAAATTGTAGAACTATTAGCCCACTACAGAATTACCTGGTGTTACCACCCAGCTAATTTTATATATTTTCCATACAGTTGATGTTACTATAATTTAATGAACAATGCCTTATGAAGTTTTGGAACACAGGTAGACAATTCATTACCTTATCACTGTCACCTGTTGGATGTTACATAATCTCCAGTCAACAGTAAAATGTGAAATCAAGATAACTGACTCAAACAGGAAGTGAACGAGCATCAAGGTAGTTAATTATAAGATTTTGATGATGGTTTCTTCCAACAACAGCTAAAACTCATTATTTCCTTGTGTCACAAGACACTGGTCGCCATCAGAGTGAGGCTGTAGGTGTTTTAATAGCCTCTACATAGGATTGCTTTCCTAAGCTTAGAATTTAACATAGTTGTGGTCAGTTACCTACAGAAAATCTCTGAGAGCTCCAGAAATTATTCATGAATTGTAACTTTTTCCATAAACTGATATTGCCTGTAAGGAAGAATGTGTTTGAAAATGTAGTCTATACAATGGAAAAAACTTAATTTATTTATTTGTCAGATGGCTGTGTGATGTTTCTTGTACATTAAGATATTACATAACCCACATTCTTCTACAGCTTATGACATCAATAAAGATGAAATGCTTTATCGTTTTTAGTTCGCTGGTCTAGATTTGAACTCCGCAAACCGCGGACGCGGAGGTGGACGTGAGTATGAAATGAATCATTTATAACACTTTTGAAATTTGATAATACAATATATTTTGGATAATTTGTTTTTTGTTAATTTTTGAAGTTGCATGTAAATCGGATTTATAGATGTTATCATTTATTAGGCTGCAATCAAACTTAAGTTGTGAACATTTCATTTGTCTAATTCCCTCTTTAATATTTCTTCGGCTTGCAGAATACTACAGAGGTGGACCACCTCAGCAGAATGGATATGGAGGATTTGGTAGAGGTTCGTAAAGAAAACTGAGGTTGAGTGGAACGGTCCCCCTGCCAGATAAATGTATTAGCACAAACGTGGATGTTACTTTAGACAAATTAAAAATTGGAACTATAGCAGTGACAGATTTGGGGAAAAAAACTGAAAAATATCTTGCATTTTCAATTGCAAAATAGATTAAGAATAGCTGTTTACTTTGAGGCATGATAATCTGTTATAGTCCAGTTGAATAGAAATGGGTGGCTGTTTCAAACCAGCACTTTAAACAGTTGAACTGCTGTAGATATATCTTGAATAGAAGAAGGTTAAAATTTTGATCTAAGCATTCAGAACAAATTTCGGGTCAAAATTTTGTGAAACATGGCCCCTGGCGTAGATTGAATTACATGGTCGCTCAGTCTACATAATAAACATGTTTTTGTTTCAGGCGGCTCTAAGTATGTGCCTCCTCACCTGAGGAGTGGCGGAGGTCCAGCCCCACCACATGTCCCTCCGCAAGGATATGGACAGCCCAATTTTCCTCCACAAGGTATGTAAAGATAGCAAGGGGGGGGGGGGGGGTTTGACTCGTCACGTATTAAGGATGGAATAGAGAATGGCAGTGGCATGTTTGTGGATATAATATCATGTCACAGGCGCTGGTATGGGCTTTTAGGACGTTCTTCTCAGATATGGGATACTTGGAGGCCAAAAGGTTGATTAGTAGCTGTCAGTGGCACCAAACCTATCTGCCATAATTATAATAACATTATTCATGAGTATTTTTTTTTTTTAAGTGCTCAGTGAATTTTACATAATCTGGTATTGCTGCTGGAAGGTTGACCAATTTGACCCCTTCGTAAGAACAGTTTTTAAATGATAAATATGGCCCTATTTTCCTTGCCTTTACTTGCTTCAAAAATATATACTGAACAAAAATATAAACGCACGAAACTAAAACGGTCAGTTGAAATGGATAATATAATCATTAAATATGCCCAGGTTGATGGTTTATTTGTGAACTGATGGATTTGTTTTGATCAAGTATAGTGGTCTGGTTTCACTTGGCCGCTCCCTGTGAGTATACTCAAAGGTTCAGTTTTTCCACCCATAAGACTAATGGAGCATGACGGAGTGGAGGTCAATCTGCAGGACCAATACACAGACACTCTCTACAGTCTAGGCAATAAAAGGACACACTAAAATGTGTATTTCTGTCACTTGTCAACATGCCACAGACGTCTTGAATCATGAGGGGGCATGCCATCGGCATGCTCAATACTGGCTTGTCAGTAACAGAAGCTGCAGTATGCCTGAATATGCATCATTCCACTGTCAGCTGTCTGAGAACACGCTTCAGAGACACTGGTAGCATTAGGAACCACCCTAATGCACCATGTCGCCCAACAAACACCTGTAGAATGTTCTGGATCTGAGTTTTCAGCCATCATGTTCCAGCTCTCGAAAATGTTCGCCAACTGCAAGAAGCACTCCAGGAGAAATGGGATAATATCCCTTAGGCCTCTATTGACAACTTAGTGATGTCCATGCGCCGCTGGTGTACTGCTCTGCACAAATTTAATGGTGTCTGTGAACTCAGGATGTTGACCCCCATGGTGTATTTGATGCCCTAACTCTTGGACTAAGCATTTAAACTTCCCCTAATGCTCTCAAAGTGATGTCTATTTGCCGGGGAAAATATGCTGTTATTTTTGGCTATATACTCTAGTTCCATATATGAAAATAAATCTACATATTCTTTCGTGCGTTTATATTCTTGTTCAGTATACATGAAATGCTTTGATAAATCTGAAGCCTTATGTGAAAATGTCATGCTTTTAATTGAGATTTCTGCAGAAATGAAGTTGAAGAGTAAGTTGGATGTTGGTAAGAAGTGAGGAGTTAAGTGTCCAAATAAAAATAAAACCTGTCCTTGTCATCTGCTCTAGGCACATATATAGTAGTAACAATATGGAAGAAAGGGTGAGAGAAGGACAGATTCCAAGAGCATTGTCTGTAATAAGTGTTGACCAGTTAATGCAAGTTATGAGAGTTCCCATTTCGCTGCCTTTTACAAGTTGCCTGTTTGTACTCTGGCTTCTGCTTCGAATTTTTGTGATCTTTGATTGCATCCTCCCCCCCCCACCCCCCTTACAAAACTTTTTTAGAAAGCAAAAAAAAAAAAAAGTATTTTTGTGCAGGCTCAGAGAAATCAGCAGAATGTATGAGGCAAACGAGGTTCTATAGAGCAATATTACCTAGTAGACATTATGTATCTCTTTGATGTAGTAAAAGAAATATCCTGTTTTTACTGTCTTTTTATCCCTGACGAATTGGAAACTAGACGTAAGTAAAGGATATTTCTTAAAAGTGTTGTGTTGCACCAGTGTAGGAATAATGAGACTTTGATGTTTTACGTTTGTCATTGAAATAATTAAGGCTGTGCATATTTAAAGTCTACAACACCATGAACAAGGCGCGGGGTAATGTGATTGTTAATCTTGTAGGCAACTTTAACCAAGGTGGTTACGGCCAGTTTGGAAACCGCGGCGGGTTTAATAACTTTGGCGGACCGCCTGTCGTCCAGTATCCGGCCACATTTGGGGTGCCACAAGGTAGTTATACATGCAATGTTGTTGTTTGAGAGAGTTTGAATTAAAAAAAAAGAATAAAAAATGTATTTATACAGTGCGTGTGGATGAGTTGATTTTTGATGGTGTTAATCTCATGTATTTAGCTGCCCTCTCTCTCTCTCTTGGCATTTGTGAGCATTTCCTGTGCAAGATTTTCTTTTTTAAGTGTGTTTCATGCATATTTATCTGTTTTATTTATTTTTTCGTTTGTGTCTCAATACGCCTGCGAGACCAGTTGATTTTACTTTTGCCTTTAGTTCACTAAGTTTAGTCTCAAACTTGCATGTTAAAAATGCAGGGAAGAAGGGAGGGGGGCACTTGTTTGGCTTGAAATGTGAAACTAAAAATTTTGGGTTCAAGTCTTCTACCAGTGCAGTTTTGATCAAATTCTGTTCATTATCAGTCCTGGGGTTTGTTTCACAAAGCTGTCATTGGCTAACGGTCCTATGTTAGCATCTGGCTTGTTAGGTGTGTCATTTCAAACATATTGCTAGTTCTCTTGTTTGTTATCGTCTTGCTATTTCAATTGATATTTCGAGAGCGAGTCAGACCAGACTAGTAAACTGTAGAGTTTTTTATATGCATGCAAAATAAATAAAATAAAAAAGATTGTTTAGTTACTGCTTTTCATCTTTATAAAATGGGGTGGTGGCCCACTTAAAGGGAACGACGATTCAGCGACTTGAATTGGGAAGTTTTGACTACATTGAAAACACCTGATATTATATATATATATGAAACTGGTCCCAGGTCTTATGTTATGCATTATCAGAAATGGTATAAGTGCATGTGTTAGTTGTTTTTAGTCAAATTCTCCTTGTGGATATATATATATGTGTATGTGTAGTTATGTTGTCAAGGATGCAGCTTTTGGTTACCCAAGTTGTATTTTGTATCAAAAGATTGTGGAACTCGTGTTCATTTGTAACTTAATATGGATAACCATGGAAAGAGCACAGACATCTACAAGGCAGATTGATTTTAGTTTCTAAAAAGCTGAAAAATGAATGGACCACAACCATAATAACCTGAATCTTAGTCCATTACTGATCTGAGTGATCCTACGTTTTTGTGGAAATCTGTCCTAAAACTTTTAAGAAAGGCTAACAAACCAACAAAGGCAAAAATCGGGTAATATGTGGCTGACCTTTCCTCAGGTTGAAGGTCAATGGGCAGTGTATTTTTGAGGCTTTCCATTTCTGCCTGTAAAAGGAGTCATTTGAAAGACAAAAAAAAATATAGAAACTGAAAAAGACTTGTATATCAGTTTTTGTAATCAGTTGATAAGGCTGTTTAAATGTTATGTTTGCTGCTGAATGCTATTGTATTTCTTTATCTTTTTTTAATTCAGTTTTTTACAATTTGAACGCAATGCTTGGCTAATGCTTGCTTGACATTTCTTTAACCAAATAAATAACAAAAATGACAGAATTTTAGGAATGCATTATTTGCTCTTGAGTAGTCAACATATGAATTCAGATCTTTTAAAATGATGTATGTATATATTTATTGGGCAAGGCAAGCATTTGATGTGTTAAAATGAATATTGTCTGAACCAAGAGAGAGATTCTTTGGAATTGTACACAGGGCCATGAATTCTGTTGAGTCATTATGTTTTGTTGTGTTCTAGGAATGGATGGAGGTTTCCGTGGAGGTCCACAAGGCGGAGACTTCAGCAGCTTTAACAGAAGAGGCGGAATGGGAGATCGCGGTGGAAGAGGTGGCAGAGGAGGCTATAATAACAGGTGCGATAAAATTAGATGCATAAGACTCGGTGTCCCCCAACCCGCTGTCACTAACACCCCATTTCCATAGTTTAGATCAACCTAACACTCTGGGGGTTCACGCTAAATAGCTGTCAGCCGGGCGGACACGAAAGTTAATTACCTCCTTACAGGTTGTAGTAGGCGGGACGGACATTTAAGTCGGATTATCTGAAAGTAATCTAGTGAGACTCCCCGCGGGGATAGATCGATCTAAAACCTATGGGAATAGAGCCTAATTCTTTAGTTACAAAAAATTGACTTGTATGAGCAGCAAAAATATTTTTTGAATCAGTGGTGTACACTGGCCCTTTGGTATCGAAGACATGAAAATAGCAATTTGCAGATGTCATATGTTTGCTGCTAGTATTTGACATTGCACATAATTTAAGTAATGCTTGGTTGTATGGAAGACTAAAAAAATAATTGATGGAAATAGTAATTTTCAGACTTAATATATATGCTGTTAGCACTTAAACATAATGTTAATAGCACTTATTACAGAAGACCTAAAAATAATGGGGGAAAATAACTTGCAGATGTGAAGTGTTAGGTGTTAGTTGTCAGCTGGACAGAAGTTCAGATTTTAAGTTGGTTTCTCTTCGAGCAAGTACACTATACCTTTAAGATTGAAAATTGGCTCTACTCGTAATGTCTGTTCACAGGGGAGGATACAATGATGGCGGCCAACGCTGGAACCGTGGACCGTCGGAGGATCGTGACGGCTGGGGTGGTGGCGGCGGCAGTGGACGCTGGCAATCAGGTGACAACCAACGCGGCGGTGGTGGTGGTGGCTGGGGCGGTAACGACCGTGGACGTAATGACGGCTGGCCCACCAACAACCGCTGGCTGGCCGGGAACGAAGACTTCCAGCCGCGCGATGGACGTCGCTGGAATGACGAGGTGGACACCAGCACAGACTGGAGTAAACCACTGCCCAGGAATGAGAGGATGGAGACGTAAGCTGACTCTGTTGTATATTTAGCAGTATTTGTTTTAACTATGTTGGCTTTGTTTATTTTTACTGACCACTATAGATTCAGTTGAAATCATCATTCTACTGTGTTATGGGCAGTATAAAATAACGAATATTGAATAACGCATTCTGTAAGTTTTAAAGTTTTTTCTCTCTGAGCTGATGAGACATAATTTCATCCATGTTCATCAGTAGTAACAAATGAAAGCGTGCCCTCATAAAAAATCTTGCATATTTTCTAAAATATTCAGTATCAAGTCACTTCCAACAATAATAAATGTTTTTTTGTTTGAAAATTTCAGCGAGCTGTTTGAGCAGGCTCATCGTGGCATCAACTTTGACAAGTATGAAGACATCCCTGTGGAGGCCACTGGAGAGAGTGCTCCAGAAAACATAGAGGATGTAAGTATAGCGTGTGTGTTTGTGTGTGTGCATTTGTTCTATCCATCTTTTTTAAAGTAAAGAAACAAACACCCTTGCTTGAAAACACTGTTTACCTCTGTCTAGTGAAGATAATTTCTTTAAAAGTACCAATTACCAGCAGTTTTTATTCCTATTTTCAGAAGGAAAAAAAAAAAAACGGATTCACTGGTGAAAAATTGAAACGATTAGACATTGAGTTAGGCACTGATTCATGTATCCCTTTCTTGTTCCAGTTCTCTGATGCCCATCTTGGTGAAATCATCTCCAACAACATCAAGCTGTGTAACTACACCAAGCCCACGCCCGTACAGAAGTACGCCATCCCCATTATCCTGGCCAAGCGTGATCTCATGGCGTGTGCACAGACAGGTGGGTGGTGGGAAACGGGTAGCTTTCAGGACACGAGCATGCCTGAACAACATGAACATTTGAAAAAGTGTACTTCAGTTGACCTCAGATAGTTGGTAACTACTTGAAAAGAGAGAGAAGTGTCAGGATTAGCATGCCTATATACAGTTGTGTTCTTTTTGGCAGTGGCCCAGTTTTATTATTTTACTTTGGTGGCATGCAAAAACAAGGCTTGCGTCAGCAATGGCAACATAGTGTTTTGCTAATACCAGTTTAGATACTGAGAAAAGTTTTTGTTCATTGAATCATAAATCTGTTAACCCATGTATGCAAAGGGTTTATAATCAGCCTTTTATTTAACCAACATGGTATAACTACTAGTATCATGTGATATGCATATCTGTGTTTTGTAAACAAACAGTTGAAGATCTTGATATTGTGTTGTATCTGTTAGGTTCTGGCAAGACTGCAGCCTTCCTGGTGCCCATCTTGAACCAGATCTATGAGAAAGGACCAGGAAACATGCCCATGGTGAGGATTTCTTCTTTCTTTTTTGGTCACACTGAAGCAAGTGTATTATCCACAGGCCAGATTTGTATTTGATCAGTAATGTCATATTTGATAGAATAGGCCAAGTCATCAAAAAAAGAAAAAAGGCTGTAAGTAATATTAGTACATGAATGTTTTGGAAAATTAAATTTTTTGGCTTCTGTCTGTGAATTTTAAGTTGATGAATTGATGAAAATGATGGTATTATTTGGTAGTTCTTATGATATTTGAAGTCTGTAAATGTGTCAGCTGCAGAGAAACCTATTGTATTATTTCAGCCCAAGGGTGGTGGCCGTAGCCGCAAGCAGTACCCACTGTCCCTGGTGTTGGCACCTACACGTGAGCTGGCTTCTCAAATCTACGACGAGGCCCGCAAGGTCAGTTGTGTGCTTGGTTAAGTCTTGAGCAGTGCAACCACTATTTTCAGATTTGAAGAAGGTTTTGATTTTGACAGTTGTCCAAAATTGAGACCAAAACTTAAGTCTGTTCTGACCTCAAATAAATCAACTTACTTTAATTTAATGAAATAAAATATTGTGCCCGTTTTATTACAGAAAAAAAAAAACTTCATGCTTTCTTTTAAAAATTTGTAATTGCTTAGTATTGATCTGAAGTTGACAAGCTATTTTGTTCTGAAGTTTAGACCCATTTTCTGGCTCTAGCCTGGTATTAGCTGTGATGAGACATATACTGTTTTCTGATCTTATGATGACAACAAGAGGCTGTTTCTGAGCTGATACAAAATAATTGTAAAACATGCATTCATGCGTGCGCTCGCACACACACACACACACTAGAGATTGAAAGTTAATGTCAAGGAAGGGGCCAGGATTGTGTTTGATTTTTTTTTTAACTTGTCTCTTCATAAATACAGAAATGGAGACATTAAAACATGAATAGGAAAACAGTGAAAAAAGAAATGTTTTTTAAAAATTACAAAATAAAATGAATGATAACAAAATCAAAAGTAGTATTCTGAGATGCCTAAGACATAAAAAACATCCAAGTGTACATGTTGTGAATAATTTTCCAGTTTTCCTACCGCTCTCATGTACGCCCATGTGTAGTGTATGGAGGCGCTGATGTTGGTGGACAGATGAGAGACTTAGACAAGGGCTGTCATTTGCTGGTGGCGACACCTGGTAGACTGGTGGACATGATGGAGAGAGGAAAAGTTGGCCTGGACTACTGCAAGTGAGTTTCACAATCGGGGAACATTGACATTGGTGAATATATTGGAGGGTTTCACCAGTTTGACATTTGGTGGCCTAGATAAAAATTGATTTTTTGCAGACAGAATTGTGCCAGTTTATGTTTGGATATGACTGATGAAAATACAGGTCTGACAAAACACTCAAATTGATGTTTCCTCATTGCCTTTCTTGCAGCAAAAAAATAAAAAAATAAATTAAATAAACTCAAACCATTCTCCAGAATGAAAACACCTTAGAGAATTAATTAACAGGTAGATACGTGTGCACATATAGCCTCACACACACACACACACACACACACACACACACAGAGAGAGAGATAAAAGTAAACTTTTTTCCAACCCTTGCAGGTTTTTGGTCCTTGATGAGGCAGACCGTATGCTGGACATGGGTTTCGAGCCCCAGATTCGCCGCATTGTGGAGCAGGACACTATGCCACCGCGCGGAGAGCGCCAAACCATGATGTTCAGCGCCACCTTCCCCAAGGAAATCCAGGTAGAGTTTTATCTGATACAGGGCAGCTTTCATACTGTAGCAGAAAACAGTTATGCATTCTGCAAAGTTGGCACTAGCCCCATGCAGCAATTTAGTTTAATTGAAACTGAGTCAGTAAAATTTTGCAAATATAAGTTGCTGTGCCAATGTTTCTGCTTTGGGTCTGTAGATTCTTGTGCTTTTCTTTTGCTCTAAGGGTAAAGTAGCTGAAACACACAACATCTAAACTTTGGAATCAAATATTTCATTGTCTTACAAGAACTCTTTCAGTTCAGCCACCTGTTGAAGAAAATATTACTGTTACTTTGAGTGCATTACACAACAAATGAAACTATTTGCTGCAAGGAAATAGTTTGTGTTTGCATTTTATTTTATATGTTAAAAGAACTTGACTCCTTGATCTCGAGTTAAAAATGGCAAAGGGAATTGTGTAAGGGAATGGTATACATTGATAAATAAACTGTTTTGAAAAAGTTTTGAAATCACATATTTGGATGCTGGGATTATCAAACCATACAAAGTGAGAACATATACAGAAATGCATCTTTGTGTATTTTACTTTTAAAATATTAACATGGTTTAGATGTTGGCTCGTGACTTCTTGGAGAACTACATCTTCTTGGCTGTGGGGCGTGTTGGCAGCACCAGCGAGAACATCACCCAGAAGGTTGTCTGGGTGGAAGAGAATGACAAACGGTCCTTCTTGCTGGACTTGCTGAATGCTGCAGGTAGGACATTTCTCCTTATCTTTTCATCCAGTTATCCTTTGGGGTGACTTTGAATGACAATTATTCTACAAAGTATAAAGAAAATTAGTTTTGCATGAGTTTATTTTTAATGCTTTGATGAACCTTACTGATGCTGCCCTCTCTCTCTCTCTCTTACACACAGCAGGAAATCGAAAATTTGAAGATTTACTTTATTTGAAACATTTACATTGTAGGCTTCGTTGTTCTTAGTTTTTGATTGAATGCATCCATTTTCCCTGCTGTTACCTTTTCCCATATTTCTCCGCCAGATGTCAACACCCTCGGCCCAGAATCTCTGACCTTGGTCTTTGTGGAAACCAAGAAGGGAGCCGATGCCCTGGAGGACTTCCTGTACAGGGAGGGTTACCCAGCAACCAGTATCCATGGCGATCGTAACCAGAGGGACCGCGAGCTTGCTCTTCATACATTCCGCTCTGGCAAGTGTCCTATCCTAGTGGCAACTGCTGTGAGTATTCAACATCAGTTACATATTTCTATATGACATCTTGCATGTGGGGGGATATGACCCTCTGATTAGAAATGTAATCATAAATTGAAATGACTGAACAGAAAGTTTTGGAGAAATTAGCAAGGTTGTAATTAGCCCCAGCAATATAAACTTTTTGAATTCCTTAATTATTTTGACCTAAATATAATTTAAACATACTAAAATACATGTATTTATGGCATCTGAACAATTAGCTTCTGTCTGGTTTTGGTTTCATAAAACAGTGGCATAACAAAGCATTGTGCAAATTGGCAACCCACTTTTGTTGACGTTTCTTTTTTATTTAGAAAAAGTGGTGTATTGAACTGTCAATATGATATTTGTGCCCTGCAAAACAATGCTGGTATTTGAATAATGATGAATAATTAAGGCTGTTTAGAACAAGATTTTTTCACTTTAAAATGATAAATATTTTAAATTGCATGAATCAGACACAACAATATTAGATGACAAACTTTTCAAAATTATCAAGTGGCCCATTTTCAAGTTTGACAAAGTTTTTGAAGTGAAAAGAAAATGTCATCAGAGAATTGTCTTCCAATAAAATTTTCCAAGACTGACTAAATTTTCAAGTTTTTTTTTTTTTTTTTAAGTGGGTTAGCCTCAGTTATATTTCCCAATGGTGTTCACTTCAGATTGTTGCCCGTGGCTTCCTGATCTTGACTGACAATGTATCTAATTATTTATAAATAGAGGCCTCTTGAACTGTTGATATCATATTTGTTCCCCGCAAAACAACGGTGGAGTTTGAATAATTATGATGGGCAATAAAGGCTATTTAATATAGTGTGTAAGCATCAGTTGTATTTTCCAATGATATAATCACCAGGTTGCTGCCCGTGGACTGGACATCCCCAATGTGAAACACGTCATCAACTTTGATCTGCCCAGTGACATCGAAGAGTACGTCCACCGCATTGGGCGTACTGGGAGAGTGGGAAACCTGGGTATGATTATCATCTTTCTCTCTTTCTCTCTCTCCAACCTCAATTTTAGGGAAGCATTCCTATTTAGTTTCATCTCTCTCTCTCTCTCTCTCTCTCNTGGGGTGGTGGTGGCGGCAGTGGACGCTGGCAATCAGGTGACAACCAACGCGGCGGTGGTGGTGGTGGCTGGGGCGGTAACGACCGTGGACGTAATGACGGCTGGCCCACCAACAACCGCTGGCTGGCCGGGAACGAAGACTTCCAGCCTCGCGATGGACGTCGCTGGAATGACGAGGTGGACACCAGCACTGACTGGAGTAAACCACTGCCCAGGAATGAGAGGATGGAGACGTAAGCTGCCTCTGTTGTATATTTAGCAGTATTAGTTTTAACTATGTTGGCTTTGATTATTTTTACTGACCACTATAGATTCAGTTTAAAATCATCATTCTACTGTGTTATGGGCAGTATTAATTTAATTAACGAATATTGAATAACGCATTCTTTAAGTTTTAAAGTTTTTTCTCTCTGAGCTGATGAGACATAATTTCATCCATGTTCATCAGTAGTAACAAATGAAAGCGTGCCCTCATAAAAAAATCTTGCACATTTTCTAAAATATTCAGTATCAAGTCACTTCCAACAATAATAAATGTTTTTTTGTTTGAAAATTTCAGCGAGCTGTTTGAGCAGGCTCATCGTGGCATCAACTTTGACAAGTATGAAGACATCCCCGTGGAGGCCACTGGAGAGAGTGCTCCAGAAAACATAGAGGATGTAAGTATAGCGTGTGTGTGCATTTGTTCTATCCATCTTTTTGCTTGAAAACACTGTTTACCTCTGTCTAGTGAAGATAATTTCTTTAAAAGTACCAATTACCAGCAGTTTTTATTCCTATTTTCAGAAGGAAAAAAAAAAAATGATTCACTGGCCAAAAATTGAAACGTTTAGACATTGAGTTAGGCACCGATTCATGTATCCCTTTCTTGTTCCAGTTCTCTGATGCCCATCTTGGTGAAATCATCTCCAACAACATCAAGCTGTGTAACTACACCAAGCCCACGCCCGTACAGAAGTACGCCATCCCCATTATCTTGGCCAAGCGCGATCTCATGGCGTGTGCACAGACAGGTGGGTGGTGGGAAACGGGCAGCTTTCAGGACATGAGCATGCCTGAACAACATGAACATTTGAAAAAAGTGTACTTCAGTTGACTTCAGATAGTTGGTAACTACTTGAAAAGAGAGAGAAGTGTTGGGATTAGCATGCCTATATACAGTCGTGTTCTTTTTGGCAGTGGCCCAGTTTTATTATTTTACTTTGGTGGCATGCAAAAACCAGGCTTGCGTCAGCAATGGCAACATAGTGTTTTGCTAATACCAGTTCAGATACTGAGAAAAGTTTTGGTTCATCAAATCATAAATCTGTTAACCCATGTATGCAAAGGGTTTATATCAGCTTTTTATTTAATCAACATGGTATAACTACTAGTATCATGTGATATGAATATCTGTGTTTTGTAAACAAACAGTTGAAGGTCTTGATATTGTGTTGTATCTGTTAGGTTCTGGCAAGACTGCAGCCTTCCTGGTGCCCATTCTGAACCAGATCTATGAGAAAGGACCAGGAAACATGCCCATGGTGAGGATTTCTTCTTTCTTTTTTGGTCACACTGAAGCAAGTGTATTATCCACAGGCCAGATTTGTATTTGATCATTAATGTCATATTTGATAGAATAGGCCAAGTCATCAAAAAAAGAAAAAAGGCTGTAAGTAATATTAGTACATTAATGTTTTGGAAAATTAATTTTTTTGGCTTCTGTCTGTGAATTTTAAGTTGATGAATTGATGAAAATGATGGTATTATTTGGTAGTTCTTATGATATTTGAAGTCTGTAAAAGTGTTAGCTGCAGAGAGAGGGGGGGGCATAAAAGTATGACTTCCTAAGAAACCTATTGTATTATTTCAGCCCAAGGGTGGTGGCCGTAGCCGCAAGCAGTACCCACTGTCCCTGGTGTTGGCACCTACACGTGAGCTGGCTTCTCAAATCTACGATGAGGCTCGCAAGGTCAGTTGGGCTTGTTAATAAGTCTGAGCAGTGAAACCACTATTTTCAGATTTGAAAAAGGTTTTGATTTTGACGGGTGTAGATTTTTAAGACCCAAATTTGAGTCTGTTCTGACTTCAATTAAATCATTAATTTCTACAGTTCAATGAAATAAAATATTAGGCCTGTTTTATTACAGGAAATGCTTCATACCCATGCTTTCTTTATAAATTTGTAACCGCTAAGGGGCAAAAGCTCTTATATGCAGCAAGGCCTGGTATTAGCTGTGATGAGACACACACTGTTCTCTGATCTTACTGATGACAACAAGAGGCTGTTTCTGAGCTGATACAAAATTATTGTAGAACACACATGCATGCACACACACACACACTACATTGAGAGTTAATGTCAAGGAAGGGAACAGGATTGTTGGAGATTTATTGCTGCCTGTCCCTTCATAAATAAAGACAATATTTAGCAGAGAGGTTATGGATATATTAAAATATGAATAGGAAAATAGACAACGAACAGAGAGATGCTAAAAAATAAAATGAAGGATAATAATATCAAAAGAAGTGCTCGGAGATGACTAGGACATATATGAAGCAACAAGTTGTGTATCTGTTTGGAATATTTTCAGTTCTCCTACCGCTCTCATGTACGCCCATGTGTAGTGTATGGAGGCGCTGACGTTGGTGGACAGATGAGAGACTTGGACAAGGGCTGTCACTTGCTGGTGGCGACACCTGGTAGACTGGTGGACATGATGGAGAGAGGAAAAGTCGGCCTGGACTACTGCAAGTGAGTTTCACAATCGGGAGAACATTGACATTGGTGAATGTATTAGAGGGTTTCACCAGTTTGACATTTGGTGGCCTAGATAAAAATTGATTCGTTGCAGACAGAATTGTGCCAGTTTATGTTTGGATATGACTGATGAAAATACAGGTCTGACAAAACACTCAAATTGATGTTTCCTCATTGCCTTTCTTGCAGCAAAAAAATAAAAAAATAAATTAAATAAACTCAAACCATTCTCCAGAATGAAAACACCTTAGAAAATTAATTAACAGGTAGATACAAGTACGTGTGCACATGTAGCCCCTCTCACACACACACACACACACACACACACCGAGAGAGATTAAAGTTAACTTTTTTTCCCCCAACCCTTGCAGGTTTTTGGTCCTTGATGAGGCTGACCGTATGCTGGACATGGGTTTTGAACCCCAGATTCGCCGCATTGTGGAGCAGGACACCATGCTGCCGCGTGGAGAGCGCCAGACCATGATGTTCAGCGCCACCTTCCCCAAGGAAATCCAGGTAGAGTTTATCTGATACAGGGCAGCTTTCATACTGTAGCAGAAAACAGTTATGCATTCTGTTAAGTTGGCACTAGCCCCACGCAGAAATTTAGTATAATTGAAACCGAGTCAGTAAAATTTTGCAAATATAAGTTGCTGTGCCCATGTTTCTGCTTTGGGTCTGTAGATTCTTGTGCTTTTCTTTTGCTCTAAGGGTAAAGTAGCTGAAACACACAACATCTAAACTTTGGAATCAAATATTTCATTGTCTTACAAGAACTCTTTCAGTTCAGCCACCTGTTGAAGAAAATATTACTGTTACTTTGAGTGCATTACACAACAAATGAAACTATTTGCTGCAAGGAAATAGTTTGTGTTTGCATTTTATTTCATATGTTAAAAGAACTTGACTCCTTGATCTCAAGAGTTAAAAATGGCAAAGGAAATTGTATAAGGGAATGGTATACATTGATAAATGAACTGTTTTGAAAAAGTTTTGAAATCACATATTTGGATGCTGGGATTATCAAACCATACAAAGTGAGAACTGCATCTTTGTATGTATTTTACTTTTAAAATATTAACATGTTTTAGATGTTGGCTCGTGACTTCTTGGAGAACTACATCTTCTTGGCTGTGGGGCGTGTTGGCAGTACCAGCGAGAACATCACCCAGAAGGTTGTCTGGGTGGAAGAGAACGACAAACGGTCCTTCTTGCTGGACTTGCTGAATGCTGCAGGTAGGACATTTCTCCTTATCTTTTCATCCAGTTATCCTTTGGGGTGACTTTGAATGACAATTATTCTACAAAGTATAAAGAAAATTAGTTTTGCATGAGTTTATTTTTAATGCTTTGATGAACCTTACTGATGCTGCCCTCTCTCTCTCTCTCTCTCTCTCTCTCTCTCTCTCTCACATGCACGTGAGACAGCAGGAAATCGAAAATTTGAAGATTTACTTTTTATGAAACATTTACACTGTAGGCTTCGTTGTTCTTAGTTTTTGATTGAATGCATCCATTTTCCCTGCTGTTACCTTTTCCCATATTTCTCCGCCAGATGTCAACACCCTCGGCCCAGAATCTCTGACCTTGGTCTTTGTGGAAACCAAGAAGGGAGCCGATGCCCTGGAGGACTTCCTGTACAGGGAGGGTTACCCAGCAACCAGTATCCATGGCGATCGTAACCAGAGGGACCGCGAGCTTGCTCTTCATACATTCCGCTCTGGCAAGTGTCCTATCCTAGTGGCAACTGCTGTGAGTATTCAACATCAGTTACATATTTCTATATGACATCTTGCATGTGGGGGGATATGACCCTCTGATTAGAAATGAAATCATTAATTGAAATGACTGAACAGAAAGTTTTGGAGAAATTAGCAAGGTTGTAATTAGCCCCAGCAATGTAAACTTTTTGAATTCCTTAATTATTTTGACCTAAATATAATTAAAACATACTATAATGCATGTATTTATGGCATCTGAACAATTAGCTTCTGTCTGGTTTTGGTTTCATAAAACAGTGGCATAACAAAGCATTGTGCAAATTGGCAACCCACTTTTGTTGACGTTTCTTTTTTATTTAGAAAAAGTGATGTATTGAACTGTCAATATGATATTTGTGCCCTGCAAAACAATACTGGTATTTGAATAATGATGAATAATTAAGGCTGTTTAGAACAAGATTTTTTCA